AAAAAAAAAAAAAAAAAAAAAACCTCCCGTGGCCCCCGACTTTCCGCGGAGAAGTCTGCGGGGAGGGACAGCTCCCATGTGTGCCTTCCCACTCTCCCCCTCTATAGGTGTCCACCTGGTGAAGTCTCATGACGATGAGCCCAGGGGAGAAGAACCATTCAGAAGAGGCAGAAGGAGCTGAACCCAGCAGGCAAGGGGGCTCAGGAGGCTGAGGCAGGAAGATCTCTGTGAGTTCAAGGCCAGCCTCAACTATGTAGCAAGTGGCCTGGAAACAGGACCTGCCTGTCTCAAACAAACAGAACTGCCCTTAGCCACCCCAACCCCAATTACTCTCGCTGGAGGGTTCTGAATTGTACAGCAGCCCCACTCCACTCTGCAGGAGCTGCCCCTTTGCAGGGTGGTCCTTTGAGCAGGAAGCCCAGGACGCTTCCTTCCACTTTTCTAGCACCCTGGTAACGCAAAGTCAGAGCTTAATAGACTAGAATGAATGAGCAAAGGGGTGAACGGTTTCCCGGGAAATGGGGTCCTGGGAATTTCTCACCCTCCTCAAAGAAATGAACAAATTATGTAAATTCCTGGGGCCACCTCCCCTTCCTCCTCCCACTGCCCCCCTCCTCCCTCCCCGCAGGTTTCTGGGCTCACCAGAAAGTGCCCCGGGCGCTCTAGTGGCCCGCTTCCTGATTACAGATGAAACTAGGGCTTAAACTGGTGAATCACTGCAGCCGCCAGCCAGGGCGTGCAGGGGGGCCCAGGTGGGGCGGGAGGGAGAAGCCCGGTTGCTAGGCCCACCCCAGTTTAGCCGTCACCGCGGAGTTAGTGACACTGAGAAAGGGTCCAGGGCCGGGGGTTTAGCTCGGTGGTGCTGGTGCCTGCCTGGCAAGCTCAAGGTCTTAAGTTCGATCCCCGGTATGGAAAAAAAAAGGCGGGGGGATCCAGCCTGGGGACAGACAAGTTTGAACAATCTTATTTTGTTTTTTCTTTTTGAGACAGGATCTCATCATACGGTTCAGACTGGCCTCAAACTCACTATGCAGCCCAGGCTGGCCTCGAACTGTCCCCTACCCCGGGGCCACCACCCCCAAGCCCCAAGGTACCCACCTGTAGGCTGAACTGTGCCTGGCCTCGGGTGACACGGTGATGACACCAGGCAGGTACTGTATCCCTACTTTGGAGGTAGAAAAACTGTCGCTCAGAGCAAGAGCTCTCGAGGTCAAGACAAAGCAAGCAGGCTGGGCAGTGGCTCCTCTCCCCAGGGCGGCAAGGCCTGGGAACAGGACCTGCCATGCCTTGGCTCAAAGGAGCACAAGCGAGGCCTCCCAGCTCCTACCCCAAGGCTCTGAGAGGGATTACTAAGTGTCCCAGGGCCCCAAGGCAGGCAGAGAAACCACAGTACAAGGGCCCACATTCAGATTCACCAGTCACAAGGTTTTTGTGACTCTGGACAAGTGGCTTAGCTTCTGTAAGCCTCAGTGTCCACATCAGTAAAAATGGGAGCATCTCAAAGTACCTGCGGCATCCCAGGACTGCCGGGAGGGCGGCAGGGTCAGAAGCTAGAAGCGTACATCCACAAACAACAGACGCTTGTTGGAGTCACTTCCCACGGGGAAAACATTTGGAGCGAATCTTTGCTGTCATCAGCATGGAATGCTCCCCACACCTGCCAGGGAGAGGGCTCGGCTTGGCCTGCAGCCTCCTTAGAAATCCCAGGACGGTTTCCACCTGGGACCCTGCCCATCAGAATCTGAGGAGGAAGCTGGCAGTGTGGACCCAGCCCCCGGGGCTCCTGGGAACCGGCAGGTCGGGAGTCCCTGGGGCTGAGTCCTGGGCTTGTAGGTGGAGTCAGCCAGTAAAACACTTTCCACCCACCTGTCAAAGTGTCCTTGGAGGAGACCCAGCTTTCTCTTGTCCTTGGCTAAGAATAACACTTGCAAACTGGAACAGGACGTGCAGGAGGCCTAGGTGCTTGGCAAAGTTGTTAATTAATTAATTTCATCCACCAACAGCCTCCTAGGCAATGACTTTTAGTTCCATCCGCGAAGGAGGAGACTGAGGCCATGCAGGTTAATGACACACCCACAGTCACACCGCTGGAACTCGACAGAGCCAAGGACCCTCAGTGCCACAGCAAGGCTTTGCCAGAAGCTCCCGCACCTGGCCCAGCACCCGGAGGTGTCCCTGAGCAGGTGCCCTGGAGCTGGGACACCTCAGCCTCTCCACCGGCCCCTGCCAGGGGCAAAAGAAGGCATCAGACCCATGGGCCACCCAGCCCAGGCAAGCGACCTCAATCCCAGGTCTGTTCCTCCAGCCCCACAAGTCCCGTATCCCTCATCTGCCTTTCTGAACGCCATGGAGTCACTGCATTTCTCGGGAAATACCACGCTTTGGCCAAGCTCATTCCTGAGCCAGCCACACTCTCCCGATTTCAGGATTCCCCGAAGAGAAGGCAGCCTCCTCACACCTGCCTCCCAGGTACCCCAGGACTGCCGGCAGCACCTACAGCCTTGCGCTCACCCTCAGGTCTGTCTCCAGGTACTTGGGACTGGGAGGGCTCGTGATGGAAGTCACCCACCTGTGCAGCAAAATGAGGGGAGACCTGGCCAGTGTCCCTCCGTCCCGCCTTCTCCTGCGGGTTGTGACCCTGAGGCCTACGGTCAGTACCAGTTGGGCAACCACAGGACAGATTGGCAGGGCGCCTGGAGGGGTGGGCAGGGTTATTTGCTTCTCCAGGGACACTTTGACCAGCTGTACCCCTGTTCTGCCATTGCTGGAACCTGGGGCCCGAAAAAGGATTCCTCTGGGGGGGGGGGTACCGCTTGGCCCGAGGTCCCCTGCTGGTCCCAGGGGGAAGCCAAGGGGACAGGATGGAGAGAGAGGCAGCCTGGCCACAGCTGGGGAGAGGATCTGGGCTCAGCGCCTCCCCTACACGGGGCGGAGCTCCAGCCGGGACCCTGGAGCCGGATCCTTTCTGCAGACACTCAGGCACTGGGCTCCCACGGGCCTGGCCTTCCAGATCCAGAGTCTCCGATTCCGCCCCGCCAACCCCATGTGAGAGGGCGTGGCTGGGCGCGTGGAGGCCTCTCCAGGAGCTGGGCTGCAGGGGCTACCCCCGGCCTGTCTGTCTGAGGCACCGCCCTGGGGTCCTTGTGCTTCTCATAAACAGGAAGCCCCCCCCCTCCCGCGCAGACAGCCCGTGCTGTACAGACGCTGGACTCTGGAGGCCCAGGACTCTTGACCTTTCTGGATGTGTTTCCTGTTAGCGGGGTTGGAGGAGGGAGCGAAAGACTAGAATGGCCTGGGTGGGGGAAGGGAACAGAAAAGAGAAGGCACTGAGGGCAGGAGCCAGTGGCCCAGCACATAGTAGGTGTTTAGTTAATGTTCTCTGGCCAGAAGCTGGGTGGGGAGGACAGCAGACCCTGTGGGACAGCAGGACTGCTGGAAAATAGAATGTGGCCTTTCTGGCCTGGCCCCCAAGCCTTAGCTTTCCCCTCACTGACCCTGCCTGGCCCCCACCCCACTCCTGGCTGCCTAATCCAGGCCACTGTCTCAAGGCCCTTTATTTTTAAAATCCCTGTGGTGTTCCTGCCCAAGCCAAGCTGAGGAGCAGTGCCAGCCGAGGCTCAGCCTGTGGCCGGGCTTGGGGCCCAGAGACGTGGGGGGAGGGGGCATCCGGCCACCCCACAGCTGCCGAGGCGATTCTGGGAGGGCTGCGAGGCCAGCTGGGCTGCTGGGCAGGGCGAGAGGCCTGGAATGCCCTGGCCCTGGCCCAGGAAGCAGCCCTTGGGTCTCGGAGGGACAGAGGGCCTGAGGGGTAGTGGCTGGGCTTCGTGTAGATCCAGCGGCATGGTCTTCTGTGAAGTTAATCTTCGTTCCCTGTCAACAACAAGCCAATGTGTGCAGCACCCACTGTGGGCTGGAGGGGGCACAGACTGGATCGTGCCAGGGTGATGGAGAGGGTCAAGATGTACCCCTTTCCAGACAGGTGGCGCCTGTAGAGAAAAGGCTTTGGGTCGGGGATGATCCTAGAAAAAGCCCTGGACTGGAACCTGCACCACCAGCTCTAGTCCTGGCTCCATCCCTTCTCAGTTGTGTGGCCTTGGGCAAGTCATTTAGCCTCTCTGAGCCTTAAGCTTTTCCCCCGTAACACAAGACACTAAAACTACACATGGGAGGCTGTTGTCCTTCACCAGACACAGCCAGGAACACACTGTAGGACTCGGGTAAATGACATGAGTTTCGAGGGAGGTGGACTTTCAGTTATCTGTGGAGGAGGAGTGTTCTATTGCAGAAGGAATGGTGATGCAAAGGTCCTGGGGCAGGAGGGCCTGGAAAGGCTTTGGCCTCTCAAGGGCTGTGCTCCTGGAAGGAAGTGTGCTTACTACTATCATTAGTACCATGTGTTGTTGGGAGGAAGTAGGGATGGCAGGTAGATTCATACCACAGCCTAGCTCCAAGTCCCTTCCCCTCCATTACTTTAGTAGAGACATCTGGGCTCACCAGCCAACCAGCATGTTGGGCCTCCTGCCCTGCACGGCGCATTCAGGCGCATTCACTGCCCCAACTTGTTTTTGCCTTTGATCCTCCCAACTGCTGTGAGGTAAGGCAGGTGGGGCTTATTATCATAAACCCATTTGAGAGACAGGGAAACTGAGGCAGGAGGGGCAGGATGGTGGTGTCAGCTTACTGAGCACACCTAGCTTGTCCATGGCAAAGCCACACAACCGAGCATCTCAGCCTCTAGGCTGATGTCCTCCCTCTTTGGAGGGAGGACCCAGCCTTGGGGACCCAGCCTTCACCCCTCCCCCACAAAACCATTTCCTGCCTCCCTACAGCCTCCATCCCAGAGCCCACAAACCCGATGAGTTCTTCTCCAGCACCAGGAGCTGCCAGCCACCGCCACCCCCCCACAGGCTCAGGCAGGAGAAGAATGTGGCCTGACCCTCCCTCGGGAGCTCTGGCCAGCAGGCCTTGGCAGGAGATGGGCGGCTGAGTCAACACAAGGCTGCCAGGGACTCCAGATGCCCACTGAAGCCGGGTCACAGACACAGAGGAGCTACCCACCCTCACTGCCCCCTGCCCAAGACCCTCCTTCCTCCTGCTGGTCCAGGCACCCTGTGGGCTGGCCCGGAAATGACCTGTTGTGCATCCTCAGGTCCCGTCTGCCACCTCTCTGGCTGGTGCCCTCACTCCGGCTAAAGTCCCTCCTACTGTCAAAGTCTCTATAAATTAATAAAGGTTACTCTGCCCATAAAACTGCATAAACGTCGCGTCCCCTCTGTAGGCTGGGGGGGCAAATACCTAAGTTCAAAGGCAATGGCGGCCGTACCCTGTTGCTGGGTACTGAGCTGGTGTTTAATTGTGCTTGCTGGGATGAGACAGTTAACATCTACAGAACAATGGGGCAAGGACGAGGAGCCTGCGCGGTAGTCGTGACGCACAGCCTCAGCGTCTGCGAGGCTGCTTTCCCACGTGGCATCCTTGATCACAGGCCCTCGGCCCCTTCCACACACAGCAGTGCCAGAGGGAAAGGAGCTTGCCCAGGGTCCCCAGCTGGGACCAGCTGGACCCAGGCCTTTGGAGAGGAAAGCAGTGGGGTCTCTGTGCTGCACCAGGAGGAGCACAGGGGCAGTGACCAGCAGAGAACGTGGACGTTTGGCAATGGTCTCAAAGCCTTAACCTCATTGCATGGGCACCACGGGTGCCACTGACCTGGACTTAGATTCAGCTGTGAGAGGGGAAGGAAGTCGCTGTACCCCTTGGCCGTGTCCCCATGGACGACGGGGCTGTACAGATGAGAGCGCAACGCCAGGTCCCCACGAGGGGCTCTTAGGAGACGCAGGTTCACGCCTGCCACTCCTGACCATCTTCCGCATCTAACTGTCCCACGAGCACAAGGGAAGCTGGGAGCTATGAAGCCAGGCAGTGTAGCCTCTGCGGTGTCCTAGATGAACCAGGTTCGAATCCCAGCCCTGGCATGAATGGGCAGCCGCCCTGGCAAGAGCTATTTTTCCTCCGCTTCTTCACCACCACACAAAGAACGGAGTGGCCGCCGAAGCCAAGGTGGACGGGCTTTTGTCAGAAGGACAGAGAAGACCATGCTCCAAGGAGCGTGCCATGGCGGTGGCGGTGAGGCCGTGCTGGACGCGGTCAGGCCGAGATGGACTGGCCCACCGCCCACAGCCTATCTCTCAGGCCAGGCCTGACCACAGAGAATAGGCCATTGTTCTGCTACTCAACGCATTTCCTGTCCCCAGCCCCCCTCCGCGTCACCCCCTCACGTCGAGAGCAAAAGTCTCCTGACAGACCCTTCCCCACCCTTCTGTCCAGGCCCGACGACACGGCCCAGCCCTGCAGAGCTCTGTCCCATCACCCACGTCCCAGGGACAATGGGATCACCTGGCCCTGACCTTTTCTGCGGCCCCAGGACCTCGGACCCCCACCGGCTCCGTCCATCCATCTGTCTGTCCTCCCCCCACCCCGCCCCACATCCTTCCTCAGCCACTCTGGAGAAAGCCAGCCGCCTGGGGTGGGGGTAGGGTCCTTCCCGCCTCCTCTTCCCTGAAGACCAGAGCCAAGGAGCCAGAGCCCAGCAGCCTGGAATTCTCCGCCCCAGAACTCTGCTCCTCACGCAGACCTCTTCCCAGAGCCTGGAATGCCGGAGGCGTTTCCAGCCCTGACAGCTGTCTCCAGGAGGGAAACATCCCTCTCTGGGGGTCCCTGCCCCACCCTCCAAAATACCCAGAAGATTAACTCCCATTAACTCCCTTCCTCACCTTCCTGCTCCCCAGACCCCTTCATACCCCGGGCCTCCAGCAGCGGCTGGGTGAAACACACAAGGATTCTCACGCCATCTCCCTGTCGCCTGCCAGCACCCAGCTCCTGAGGTCTCAGTCTTCACCACTGACACTGCCTGGCCGCAAGCACACTGCCTGGCCTGGCCCTTGTGCCCTCTGCCCTGCACTGCCTCCTCTGGGCAGCCCTCAGGAGTCCCTCGGGCCATGGCCCTGTGCCTGCCTGTCTGGTTTCCTTAGCTGTGCCATGCACAGTGCGTACTCAGCAGCCAAGAACTCTGCTGCACACTCTCTATGCAGCCCTGGCCTCGGTGTCCCCAGGAGGCTGCTAAGGGTCCTGAGGCTCCCCATCAAGTGCTGCCTCTCGGGGATCTAGGGTGAGAGGAGAGAACCAGAGGACAGGAGGTGCCTTCCAGGAGGGTCCCCCACGCCTGATTTCCTCAGAGCAACCCAGCCTCAGGTTGGCAAGGGGAAAAGCAGCAGCTAACAAGGAAGCCCCCCAAGGGCTCTGCGTGGCCCCAGGGACCCTGAGTAGCCTCCTGCCACAGAGATGCCCCCAGGCCCCTCCCTCCCTGAGCGTGGCATTCAATGCCTCTCCAAGCCCATTCTCCACCTGGCTCACCTCCACCCTTCCCAGTCACAAACCACCTTGGGTCTGCCCGTCCCCATCTCCACCCGTGCTGAGGCTGCTTCTCCCCAGGACACTAGGCCGCCTTCCTGAGGAAGCCTCCTGGGCCTCCCCCATCAGCGCTCTGCCCCCCTGACCTTCTAACGCTGCTGTTAGCCCTTCATTCCCACCAGCACCCTGGCCTTGGCACTCACCACTCAACCCTGAGCCTCCACGGAGCAGGGCCTGTGTCCCTCAGTCCCCACTGCCCCTCACGAGGTCCTCGGCCCAGTGCTGCTCCACACAGCACTGAGCAAAACTGTCTCCCAGGAAAAGGAAAACCGTCTGGGTCACAATGACAGCTGCCCTTCACCGGCCATTTGGGACAGCATAGGCAGTGAGGTTTTCTCGGTGGTACCGGGGATTGAACTCACGGCCCTCCCAGGCCAGGCAAGCGCCCTACCACCCAGCTGCACCCCAGCTCCAGGCTTTCCCCAAATGTGTGAGGAGCACGGGAGGCATCTCATCGGAGATCTAGATGCCCGAGTGTCAGACAGGCCGGTGTGGGTGGGAGGCTCACTCTGAAGGTGGCTAAGGGTGACCACAGAGGAGGCCAGCGAGATATGTGTGTGGGAGAGGGACGAGGACAGGCTTGGGACCCGTGTCAGTCAGCAGAAGCCAGCTGTGAGCCAAAGGGAGGGCACTGCAGGGTGGAAAGGGAGGTGGCAGTGGACGGAGCGACGCTGGATAGATTCGGGGGTGCATGGACAGATGCGGTGTGGGCCATGAGGGGGCTGGATGCTTGGCGGCTGGATCGGTATGGGTGTGGATCAGAGGTGGAGGGATAAGTCGATGGGTCAGTGCATGGATGCAAGTGAGCAGAGGTAGATGGGTGGACCGGCAATTGTATCTGTGAATGGACAGACGGCTGCACACCCAAGAGACAGAAGACTGGGAAGACCGATCAGTAGGCCAATGAGTAGATGCATAAATTGACCTGAAGCCCAGCCTGATTTGAGGGTGAAAAGGAAGTGTGCTCCTTAAGGAGCTTCTTAAGGATGGAGCTGATAGATGGGCCTAACCTCACTGGATTCTAGGAGGTAGCCACTGGCATCCTTGGGTCCCCAAAGTAGGACGCAGCCCAATCAGACGGTACCCCTCTCTGGCCCACAGAACACTTCTGGGTCAGAGCTGTGTCCCTCCCTTGAACTCCTCCTGGGCCCCAGTCTGCAGGGCTGAGGTGAGGAGCAGCTGAACACTGGGGGTGTAGCCCAGGGTCCTGAACCCCGGGGGCCCATCTCACCAACAGCTCCATTCCCCAGCTGGGAGGCATCTGTTCTGGCTCATGCACGGTGATTGGGTTCCGCCAGGGTTAACCCCTGCACTCCTAGCACAGCCTCTCAGGAGAAGGAAGTGGAACAGCAGGAAAGTGGGAGAGGGAAAAGCATGCTGCCCATCCCTGCTCCCTTCTAAGGGATATGGAGACCCCTCTTTTTCCAGGGTAACCAGCTGAACAGGATCCTGATATCAGTAGTGGAGCCAGGCAGGAGAATGTGACTCACCGAGAAACAGACTCCTCTCAGGGACAGGATGTGAGTAAAAGAGGGCTCTTCCAGCCTCAGTTTATCCATCTGTAAAACAGGGCGGACACATAGGACTCACAGCCACAAATGAGCCGTAAGAGACAAAGGTGAGAAGTTTTCAACCACTGGTACAGGGGTCCAGAGGACAGAGCGAGTAAGGCGCAGTTTGCCACGGCTTCCACTGGGACCTAATTCCCCCAGCTCTTGGACCTTGCAGCAGCCCCACCATTAACAAACGCCTGCCTTGGCACCAAATCCGCTTTCCAGGGACAGACTTGAGGTTCAGAGAGTCTCATGGTCAGCCACAGGGCTGGGATTGGAGCTCGGGGCCTTCTGTGCTCCAGGGACCCCGGACGAGAATGACGCGTCCTTCACTGTCTGGCCAGATCACCCGTAAAAGCAAAAGCAGCATTATCAGTCATCAGCCTGAGACAGGAAGTGTCCCAGGCAAACTGAGGAATCTCGCCTCCTGCCCATGCTTAGGACAAGTACCTTTACCTCTGTGGAGCATTGATGGGATGGCAGTGTCGTCCCTGCAGGGCTCTCAAAGGGATACGAGATGCACGATATGTGGAGCAGGGACGGCCTTGTACGCTGCAGGTGCTCAATAAGAGCGGGTAATGGCTAATGCTATTAACGGCGGTAGTCACAGCAGCACTAGTCCCTTCCCCCGCCGCTGCCCTTCAGGTCCATTCTCTGATCACAGCCAGAGCTTTTAAATGCACCTGCTCAGGCTGGCGACAAACACCTGCAATCCCAGCACTAAAGCAGCTGAAGCAGGAGGCTCGTAAGTTCGGGACCTGCCTGCACTACCTCTGGACTCCCCGTGCCTGCCTTGGGGACCCCAGAACCAATGTTAAACCCCCAAGACCTGGCCATCCTCTCTTGACAGTGCCCAGCACCATCATGGTCTCTCCTTGCAGAAGTGACTTTTCTCCTCCTTGATCGTGGTTTTCAGTGCCTTTCAAACATGGCGACACTGCTGCCTTTCTCCAGGGGACAAAACACCTCTGGGCTCCACCCAGGGAAAGATCTCTGACCCACTGACTAGGTCTCAGTCCTAGCACTGTGCCAAGGGAGCAAACGTTGGGACCCTCCGTGCCTCAGTTTCCTCACACGTCCAGCAGGGGAAACAAGCCTCCCTCTGTGACCAGCAGGACGGCAAGAGCAGTGGGGGAGGGGTAGCCTCCTCTTTACCATAAAACCTCACTTTCCTACCTGTGTGTCCCCCAGCCCCTCTTCTCCAGCCGGGACAATGTCAGGTGATCCCCCCCAGTCATGCCTGCCTCCTCCACAATACACCCCCACCCCTGAAAGCTCTGTCAGGGACCCCCTTGTGCCACTGCAGCCCCCAGGACTTCATGCTGTCCCTAGGGGGCTAGCAGCCTAAAGGGAGAAGTCAGGGTACACAAGTCAGGCGTGGTGACTGGCGCACGCCTGTAGTCCCGCCACTCGGGAAGCTGAGGCAGGAGAATCATCTTGAGTTTGAGGCCAGCCTGGGCCACACAGCAAGACCCTGTCTCAAAAACCGAAAAACTCAAACAAAATGAAAGTAGGGATGCCCAGCAACACCAGGCAGGGGGCAGAGATCTATCTCTCCGTCCTTGAGGATGGCACAAGATCCTGGGCACGGCCCTAGCCCCAACCCTAACCCTATTCCCCATGGGGGGAGGGGCCTCAGAAAACCTTCTGAGGTAGGACCTCATCACCCTTTCAGTAAACCTCTTGGTAGTAATATAGCTCTGGGAGCACTTAATAATACAACATCTTACATTGTCTTTGGTTATCTAATGGGGAAGCTGAGGCACCAAGAGGGTAAGTAGTGATGGAGGCCAGCAAGGAACCCAGGCTGTGTAACTCCGGGTCCACAACCTCGACCACCACACTACACTCCACAATTGACCAGCCAGGGCCCTGTGCCCCAGGATGGCTCCGTGTCGCTGGCACCCAGGGCCTATACAGTACTGGGTGGAAGGAAGACGGAGTTGGGTGAGAATAAGGAAGGGGCAGCATGCACTTGTAAGATTCAAGGTCTAAGGAAGTCTGGGGCAGTCAAGGCCTCTGAATGGAGCTTTCCCTTTTCCCAAATTGCGCAGGCAGCGCCCGGGGGGTCAAACAGCCAGGAGCCAGGGCTGCCAATCGGGATGCTCCCCCGACCCCCGACCCGCACTCAGGGACTCTAGGGGAGGGGCGGGCACAAGGAGCACAAGTTGCCTCCCCTGGACCGCAGCCCAGCTCCAGGCCAACCTCGCGCGCCCCAGATCGTCCTGCTAGGGCAGTGGGCAGAAACCAGGCCTGGCACCCCGCGGCCCTTTATCCAGCCTTCGCAGCAGCGCTGCGT